GTGGTAAGTCCCTGGGACACAGTGCAGCTGCTCTAGGCACAAATGGGGTAATTCGGCCTAACAACCACGACTGACTGGAAGCTGCTGGGAATGATCCGGCCAGTAAACCCAGCTCCTAAAGTACAGTGGTTGCTTCAGACTGGTGTACAAGAGAGCAGGTTCTGCCATCTTTTTATGCTGTAAGCTGATTTGTGCCCACCACTATGGCACATCATCGTCTTGCAGATTCTGGGTAAGATGTCGGAGGGATTGTCTCCACAGGATAGTGTGTCTGGACAAGTCCAAGTAGATGGTTAGCGTATTGTCTTAAAAAATCATAGAGGGGGTATTTTTCCATCACCACCATCATAGTCCTCTGTCAGAGTGTCGTATGAACTTAATGAGAATGTCCCTTGAAGTGTCTGGGGGAGCTCTGGTGGGTTTAGGCAAACATAAGCAGTAATCCACCACTACTTGCTTAGCTTGTTTCGGTGGGAGCAGTGTGGCGACACGCCGCCGTACAAAGTAGGGCAACTCACTTGCTGTAATGGTCTCAGGAACCCCCCTGAGTCAAAGATTCCTTGTCTTGGTTCTGTCTTCCAGGGCAGCCATGTGTCGCATCACGCCTGCATCCGTTTTCTTTTTGTAGCAAGCCAAGGACTGCATCAGTGGCTGCTTGTGCTACCTTTGCAGTTCACACTTCTCCCTCCATTGTTGCTAGTCTGCTGGCTAGTGTCGTTACTTCCTCCTTCACCACAGCTACATCGGCCTGGAGCAGGGCCTTAATGTCTGCCTTGGTGGATGGGGCCATGTGGATCCCTGTGGAACTGCAGTTACCTTTGGAAAGGTGTACAGCCTCTCAGGCAGATTTTCTTCATCCGAGGAGACTAAGGGTGAGGTTTGGAGGAAATCACCAAACAGGTTGGTGCAGGAGGGTCCCGATATCTCGGGAACTGAGGCTCGTTTCGGCCCTCAAATTTTTATTTTTATTCCCCATCTGCTTTGGTAGTGGACTCTCTGTCCTCGAGCTCCGGGGAGCAAGGTAATATTGCCAGTTACCGCATTGTTTGTGGAAAACGAGCGAAGCTCTCACAGCATGCGTCCGTCTCGGTAATTGATGGCTCCGCCCCCCTTTTTATTGTACTGTCATGAACTTTAACATTTCACATGCTAACTGAGGCCTGTAAAGACTGAGATGTAACTCTTGGGATTTTTTAATTTCTTTGAGCATTGCATGGTATGACTTTGGGGTGAATTTGCTGGGACTTTCATGCCTGTCTTAAATAATCTATCTCACTGAAGATGGACTTTAAATTGTTTGTTAATGGTCTTATAACCCAGTTTGATGGGCAGCAACAATTGCTTCTCTAAGGTCATTGCTGATGTCTTTACTCCTTGGCATTTTGTTAACACAGACCTGAATGCTCTAGACCAGCAAACTGCTAAAACTTTTAGCATTTATAGAGGTGGTCACACATGCTGATGATCAATTAATCAAGGGCATTTGATTAGCAGCACCTGTCTTCTACTTAGCCTCTTATTTCTTATGGAAGCAGTAAAGGGGTACACAGTTTTTACACTTGGTTTCTCCATTTTGGCTTTAGTTTTGTTAAATAAATAATGACAAACAGTGTTCATCTGATGTTCTATTTACCTAACTTCAAGACCTGCTAAGGAACAGATGATTGTTATTATGTTCTGATATGTAAAACCATAGAATTCAAAGAGGCTGTACTTTCATTTTCCCAATACTGTATATTGTTTTAACTTCACAGATGAGAGAAAGCTCTCTATCATCTAAATATAGGACATTGAACACAATAATAGTTGTCTGTATATATATATATATATATATATATATATATATAAAAGACTTTATGCTGAAACGTTGGGACTTTGTGGTCTCCAGCTTTGTGTCAGTATAACTGATGGTACACTTACTAGTGGGTTTAAATTAAGAGCACTTTATCGTTTGTTTTATGTGGTTATATCTGTGGTACATACTCTTTGCATGTTTTGCCTGTATGTTTGAACTTTAAAGGACCACTATAGTGCCAGGAAAACATACTCATTTCCTGGCACTATAGTGCCCTGAGGGTGCCCCCACCCTCAGGGTCCTCCTCCCGCCCGGCTCTGGGGAGAGGAAAGGGGGTAAAACTTTCTTTGAAACTGCTATGTTTATAAAAAAAATGGGTTCATCCTAGAGGGACCTGGCACCCAGACCACTTCATTAAGATGAAGTGGTCTGGGTGCCTAGAGTGGTCCTTTAACTTTGATGTATTCTTTTTTCATCATATACTAAAATATTTTTATGTGCAATACTTATTGGTGTGCTTTGGGTTTATTGCATATGTTATTTATGGACCTGAAGGGGATACAGGTATTTTCTCATTAAGCACCCTGCAATGTTACAAATGCATACCTCACTAAAAATTAATTCACATCAGTTGAGCACTTGCTATACTACTGATTCAAAATTTCATTTAAAGAAATTCAGGTCGATCCAAAAATTCCCAAGGGGACACTAACATTAAAGAGGCTCTCCAGGCACCATAACAACTTAGGCTAAATTGAGTTGTAATGATGCCAGAGGCCCCCAGATATACCTCTTTGACCTCAAGGGTTTAAACATTCTCAAACTAAGCCTCTGTCACAGATCTTAGCTTCCCCAAGTGACATCCGTCTCCTTTAAATCTCTAAAGTTTCTTGAAGCATGGAGTTCCGGTGGGCAGGGGCGCCGCTGATTGGTAGCTGACGCTCTCAGCAAACTATTGATTCCCTATTCATAGAAACAGGCTTGAAAATATAAGTTTACCATAATATTGCAAAAAAATAGTTGTAGAGGGTCAATGACAGATTGATTACTTAATGCAGGAAAAATGCAACATTTATAAAACAAAATGCAGTTTCAGGTCAGAGGTTGTGAAGTGGCACTTAGAAGGAACAACCAAATTCATGTGTTACTCGTTTTCCAATGTATAATTTATAGCTATACTTACTGGCAAACATTCAAATACACATATAGTAATCTCAGACTAACCATTAACATTTGGGATCGATTTGCAAATGTTTTCAAATTCTGAAACTGAAAAGTTATTCAGTTTTAGACTGTTTTAAACAGGATACATTTAGATATGGCAACAAGTAACAGTGTGCATCCAAAGAGAAATGCTGCTGAAAAATATTAAAGGCTCTTGACAATAAACTTCAAATGTAAGCGTCAGGGTAAAATAGTAATGCAGTTTATTTGCCCTTTCCACAAGTTGCACAATGCTGTGCTTCACAGTCATAAAAACCCAAAAAGAAAGTAAATCCTACTCCATCTTGGAGACTTACTAAACAATAGTTTTCCTAACTATCCAACTGACCAGCTAATCCAGTTCCCAGTTTGTAAACAATATAAACACAGCACTTTAACCCCTTAAGGACGGAAGCAGTTGTACAAGTTTAGATGAAAACAAAACATAAAAAAAACTAGAATTTGTTGTTCAACCAAGTGTTGTTCACACTTATATATCATTTTGTTCAGGAGAAAAGGGTCTTTCATTTCACATATTTATATATTAAACATAATTTAATATGAAAATAAAAAAATGTGAGAAATTAAGAATTTAAAAAAAATGTGTTTAGTTCTCCATGGCATTTTAACTGTAAATGTCATAATGTTAGCTGTTACTGCAATAGAGTACACATATTTGTATTCAACGATGTCTCCCGAGTACAAAAGTTCCCCCATGTGCAGGTTTTTTGGTGTTTTGGAAAATTACAGGGTCAAATATAGCAAATTTTTCAGTTTATACACATTGAAATTTACCAGACTGGTCATGTTGACTGTGAGACTGTGTCAGAGTGTCGTATGAACTTAATGAGAATGTCCCATGAAGTGTCTGGGGGAGCTCTGGTGGGTTTAGGCAAACATAAGCAGTAATCCACCACTACTTGCTTAGCTTGTTTCGGTGGGAGCAGTGTGGCGACACGCCGCCGTACAAAGTAGGGCAACTCACTTGCTGTAATGGTCTCAGGAACCCCCCTGAGTCAAAGATTCCTTGTCTTGGTTCTGTCTTCCAGGGCAGCCATGTGTCGCATCACACCTGCATCCGTTTTCTTTTTGTAGCAAGCCAAGGACTGCATCAGTGGCTGCTTGTGCTACCTTTGCAGTTCACACTTCTCCCTCCATTGTTGCTAGTCTGCTGGCTAGTGTCGTTACTTCCTCCTTCACCACAGCTACATCGGCCTGGAGCAGGGCCTTAATGTCTGCCTTGGTGGATGGGGCCATGTGGATCCCTGTGGAACTGCAGTTACCTTTGGAAAGGTGTACAGCCTCTCAGGCAGATTTTCTTCATCCGAGGAGACTAAGGGTGAGGTTTGGAGGAAATCACCAAACAGGTTGGTGCAGGAGGGTCCCGATATCTCGGGAACTGAGGCTCGTTTCGGCCCTCAAATTTTTACTGATATCGTTGTGATATGTTTTACTGTTTTAAAACACTAATATATGTATTCAGCAAAGTTTTCCAAATAAAACAGTACCCCTAATGAACAGGATTTGTGGTGTCCTGGAAAGTTACAGGGCAACAGCAAAAAACTAATGTGAGGTAGGCTGAACTTGATGGACGCAAGTCTCTTTTCAGCTATGTAACTATGTAACTATGTAAATATAGGGCTTGCGAACCAAATTCTCTGGATCTTGTGCCTTGGTTGTCAGGCAGGTCCTTCATATTGTAATTAATAAAATAATAATAACAAAGTATATAGCCAGGAAAGGTACATTCAAATTACTCTGGTTTTCAAGTATGTGCTGACTTAATGATGTAAAAATATTATATGAAGATATTTGTAGAATTTTTAAATATATATGTACATATATATAAATGTATATATTTATTTTTTAAATTTATGTATAGTTATATATATACCAAATAAACGATGCTTGGCACTCCTCATATAATAGAAATATATCCACTATGCCTAGGTGCAATCCTGCGTAAATATATAGAAAACTAAAGTTTAGGGAGCACCCCAGGTCTCAAGTATGTGCAAAAGTGGTATTTATTGTATTTTGCAAAAAAAAGAATTAACTGTGTATAAGGTCCAATCTTGGACTATATTCACAGTTAATTGTGTTTTTGAAAAATACAATAAATACCACTTTTGCACGTACTTGAGACCTGGAGTACTCCCTAAACTTTTTATATATACACAGCTCCAGCTTCCACCCCTCTCATACTAAACAGGGCATCATCTACAGCCAAGCCACTAGGTACCATCGCATATGCTCTGATCCTAATGACCGTAATTCCCATCTAAATGTACTCTCCCAATCTATGAGACAGAAAGGCTACAAACCAAAAACTATTACCAAACAAATCAACTCTGCTGTAAAAACGCCACGTACGCGCCTGCTACAATACAGAGAGAAAAAAATATGCACACGAGTGCCACTTGTGGTCACCTACAACCCTGCTCTTGAGGAAATACGGAAAATCATCAAAGACCTACAACCAATATTAACAGAAGATGAGACTCTGAAAAACATTTTCCCTGAAACACCCATTTTGGCCTTCAGACAACCACCAAACCTCCAACAAAAATTAATCAACAGGAGGCTGCCCACTGATGGTAAGAACGAAGAAAACGGGACCAGTCGATGCAAAAAACCTCGCTGCAAACTGTGTCAGCACATATGCACAGACAACACAGCCACACACAACAATAAAACCTACAACATTAAAGGTTCATACTCCTGCACATCCAGCAATGTGGTATACATGATTCAATGCATAAAATGCCACCTAGGATGCTACATTGGGGAAACCACCCAGCCATTAAATGGCAGAATGAACATGCACAGACACTCTATTAAACACCACAAAGAAGAATCATACTGCACTCCTGTGGGACACCACTTTACCCAGCCTGGCCACTCACTGAAGGACCTAAAAATCAAAGTACTGAAAGGGGGTTTTAAAAATACCCAGGAAAGAAAAGCCTTTGAAGCCAGAATGATTAAATGGTTTAACAGCAAGAAGAGAGGACTAAATATTGATTTGGGATTCCTGTCCCACTACCAACACTTTACATGAACACTCTCCCAGTGTTCATGTGTACCAACACTTTAAAATGCATTCCTATATGCTTATTCTATCTATATACAAAGTACTATGTGTAGACCTATGCTTTCCCATACTCGTATGCATGAATGCTTATATATATTACTGTGCATTTATATTTGTGTATATGAGTCCATGTGCATGTATGTATATGTGTTTATGTATATGTATATATACATGTGTTTATGCGTTCACATATACATATTTCTGTGTGTGTGCATGTATAAAGTGTATCATCCTGTGCACTGTCTGCTTGTTTGTTTTTCTTTTCCCTCTCTCCCCCCTACTCTTCTCTTCAACAAGATATTTATGACCCTCTGCTAAGATGGTGTCTATTTTCTAACAAACCTGTGTCTTATCTACACTCATGTCGCTTTAACCCCTGTATCACAACTCAACTTTGAATTCTATGTGTCGTTTTGCTCAGAAATGCTTCAGACTTGAGAAAGGGAGGTTCTCCCGAAAGCTTGTCATTAAAAAATTCTGTTAGTCCAATAAAAAAGGTATTACAAGATAAGAATTTTATCTGTTTTTACATCTACATCACTGGACTAATACGGCTACAATCTCTACTTGAACACTATATATATATATATATATATATATATATATATAATATATATAATAACTGTATATAAATTAATAATAAAATGCACTTTTAATAATGATGTATGTATGTATATGTGTATGTGTATATAAAAGTACTTAGATCATACAGTGAGGGAAAAGTATTTCACTGCCTGCTGATTTTGAACGTTTGCCCACTGACAAAGAAATGATCAGTCTGTAATTTTAATGGTAGGTGTATTTTACCAGTGAGAGACAGAATAACAAAACAAAATCCAGAAAAACGCATGTCAAAAAAGTAATACATTGATTTGCATGTCAATGAGCGAAATAAGTATTTGACCTTTGACTTAGTACGTGGTGGCAACACCCTTATTGGCAATCACAGTGGTCAGAAATTTATTGTAGTTGGTCACCAGGTTTGCACACATCTCAGGAGGGATTTTGTCCCACTCCTCTTTGCAGATCCTCTCCAGTTATTAAAGTTTCGAGGCTGATGTTTGGCAACTAGAACCTTCAGCTCCCTCCACAGATTTTCTATGGGATTAATGTCTGGAGACTAGCTAGGCCACTCCAGGACCTTAATGTGCTGCTTCTTAAGCCACTCCTTTGTTGCCTTGGTTGTGTGTTTTGGGTCATTGTCATGTTGGAATACCCATCCATCACTGGCGTACATACCAGGGTCGCAGGGGTCGCGACTGCGACCGGGCCCGGCCCACCAGGGGGCCCGGCCGCCCCTGCGACCCGGTATGTACGCCCAGGGCCAGCCTCTTCCCCTGGGGGGCCCAGGAGCCGACCACCCCAGGGCCCCCCTGAGGCTGGCCCTGCTGACCCCGGGTGGCCGGTCGGGCAGGCAGGCGGGCGCGCGAGGGAGCACTCAGTGCTTCCTCTTCAGCTCCCTCGCGCACCGCAATGATACCGGAGCCGGAAGATGACGTCATCTTCCGGTGCCGGCATCCCTACGCGGCGCGCGAGGGAGCTGAAGAAGAAGCACTGAGTGCTCCCTCGCGCGCCCGCCTGCCTGCCCGACCGGCCACCCGCCCAGGAGCCCCACTGGACCCCAGGGAATAATCCCCCCCCAGCACTCCAAGAGGTAAGGAGGCTGGGGGGATTATATAAAAAAAAAAAATCATGTGTGTGTGTTAGTGTGAGTGTTAGAGTGAGTGTTAGAGTGAGTGTTAGTGTGTGTGAGTGTTAGTGTGTGTGTTAGTGTGAGTGTTAGTGTGTGTGTTAGAGTGAGTGTTAGTGTGTGTGAGTGTTAGTGTGTGTAAGTGTTAGAGTGAGTGTTAGTGTGAGTGTTAGAGTGAGTGTTAGAGTGTGTCTGCTAGTGAGTGTTAGTGTGTGTGTCTGCTAGTGAGTGTCAGTGAGTGTGTTACTGTGTGTGTCTTACTGAGTGTGTGTGTGTTAGTGAGTCTGTTTGATGTCTGTTGGTGAGTGTGTGTTTGTCAATGAGAGTGTATGTTTTGTAAGTGAGTGTGTATGTATGTCTGTCGCTGACTGTATCTCTGTCAGTAAATGTGTGTGTCTGTTAGCTAGTGTGTATGCGACTGTAAGTGTGTGTGTGTGTGTCTTCAGCACTTACCTTTCTCCAGCGCCGGACTCCCTTGGCGCTGGGGATCCCTCAGCCTCTCAGCTCCGAATGCGACCGCACACGCATTCAAACCGCCCGTAGGAAAGCATTACTCAGTGCTTTCCTATGGAAGTTCAGTGTGCTCCTCTAGCGGCTGTCAGTGAGACAGCCACTAGAGGCTGGATTAACCCTCAATGAAACATAGCAGTTTCTCTGAAACTGCTATGTTTTCAGCTGCAGGGTTAAAACTAGAGGGACCTGACACCCAGACAACTTCATTGAGCTGATGTGATCTGGGTGTCTGTAGTGGTCCTTTAAAGGACCACTATAGTGCCAGGAAAACATACTCGTTTTCCTGGCACTATAGTGCCCTGAGGGTGTCCCCACCCTCAGGGACCCCCTCCCGCCCGGCTCTGGAAAGGGGTAAAACTTACCTTTTTCCACCGCTGGGCAGAGAGCTCTCCTCCTCTTCTCCTCCCCGTCGGCTGTATGCGCACGCGCGGCAAGAGCTGTGCGCGCATTCAGCCGGTCACATAGGAAAGCATTCATAATGCTTTCCTATGGACGCTGGCGTGCTCTCACTGTGAAAATCACGGTGAGAAGCACGCAAGCGCCTCTAGTGGCTGTCAATGAGACAGCCACTAGAGGATTAGGGGGAAGGCTTAACCCATTCATAAACATAGCAGTTTCTCTGAAGCTGCTATGTTTATTAAAAAATGGGTTAACCCTAGCTGGACCTGGCACCCAGACCACTTCATTAAGCTGAAGTGGTCTGGGTGCCTAGAGTGGTCCTTTAAGTGTGTGCATCTGCATGCACTGGCGTACATACAGGGGTCGCAGCCCTGTAACCCCTGCGACCAGGTGCCCACCGCCATGTGTTGCGGCCTGGCCCGCGCGTGGGGGGGGGGGGGCCCACGGATCAATTTTCGCACCGGGGCCCCATGGGTCATGTGTACGCCACTGCCATCCATGGCCCATTTTCAATGCCCTGGCTGAGGGAAGGAGGTTCTCACCCAGGATTTCATGGTACATGGCCCCGTCCATCATCCCTTTTATGCGATGCAGTTGTCCTGTCCCCTTAGCAGAAAAACACCCTCAAAGCATAATGTTTCCACCTCAATGTTTGATGGTGGGCATGGTGTTCTTGGTGTCATAGGCAGCATTCCTCCTCCACCAAACACGGTGAGTTGAGTTGATGCCAAAGAGTTTGATTATGGTTTCATCTGACCACAACACTTATACCCAGTTTTCCTCTGAATCTTTCAGATGTTCATTGGCAAACTTCAGAGGGGCCTGTACGTGTACTTTCTTGAACAGGGGGATCTTGCAGGTGCTGCAGGATTTCAGTCCTTCACAGCAAAGTGTGTTACCAATTGTTTTCTTGGTGACTATGGTCCCAGCTGCCTTGAGATCATTAACAAGATTCTACCGTGCAGTTCTGGGCTGATTCCTCACCATTCTCATGATCATTGAAACTCCACAAAGTGAGATCTTACATGGAGCACCAGACCGAGGGAGACTGACAGTTATTTTGTGTTTCTTCCATTTGCAAATAATCGCACCAACTGCTGTCACCTTCTCACCAAGCTGCTTGGCGGTGGTCTTGTAGCCCATTTCAGCCTAGTGTAGGTCTACAATCTTGTCCCTGACATCCTTGGACAACTCTTTGGTCTTGGCCATAGTGGAGAGTTTGGAATCTGATTGATTGATTTATCCTGTGGACAGGTGTCTTTTATACAGGTAACAAACTGAGATTAGGAGCACTCCCTTTAGGAGAGTGCTCCTAATCTCAGCTCGTTACCTGTATAAAAGACACATGAGAGCCAGAAATCTTGCTGATTGATAGGTAATCAAATTTCCCTCATTGACATGTAAATCAATGTATAACTTTTTTGACATGCGTTTTTCTGGATTTTTTGT